GATAATTCAGGTACAAAAAGGACATCAACAAGTAATAAGGCACCTATATGAATAGACCCTGAAAATGAGGCAATGACAGTAGTGTGATTAGGCAGATTAATATGCATTGGTTTAATGGGGTGAAGGTTATGAAATAAGGATTGAATTGGACAAATGTGGTCAGTAGCACCATTGTCAATGATCCAATGAGGAAAAGAAGAGGATGTACCTCAATTATGAACAAAAACATGATTTACAGAGGACGAATGATCCTTAGTGTGTTGGTGCAAGGCAAAGATCGCTTGATACTGATCTTTAGAGAAAGTGAACTGATCATTGGTGTGACTACCATCCAAATTCAATGGTTGAGGAAAAGCAAAAGACTCCATAGTAACTAAACTAGTAGAAGTTTTATTTGTGGGTTTTGACTTTTTGTAACCACCAGGAAAACCAATACGAAAGTAGAAACTCTCTATGGTATGATTGATTTTCTTGCAATGTTCACAAAATTTGTTGTTCCTGGAAGTGGTCTTGCTGGCAGTAGAAGTGGGTCTGTTGGAAGAATGAAAACGTGGTTGATCATTGGAGAGAGCAGCAAAAGCCAATGAATCGGGAACAGAGGGCTTCAGATTAATGCTAATAAATTTGTGTTCATGTTAAAGAACCATAGAAAAGGTTTTAACAATTGAAGGGATGGGATCCAACATCATTGTTTGAGAATGAACTTGGGCATAACTCTCATTGAGACCACGAAGAAAGTGAATCATATAATCATCCTCGCGTTCTTTGTGAAGTTTAGAAAGGAGACCACAAACACAAGGTGTCAAACAGGTACAGGTCGAAACACAGCGATAGAGTTCCATTTCCTTCCACAAGATCTTTAGCTAGGTATAATATTAACAAACACTAGATTCACCTTGACAAAAAGCAAGAATCTGATTCTGAAGGTTAGAAATCCAAAATTTGTCAGCAAGAGGAAAGCGATTCTTGAGATCTCGCCAAATCTTAGAAGTCGTATCCATCCACATCACAGATTGCTTATGGAAGGAGTCATAGAACGAGTGAGCCATGACATTACCATGCGATTAGATATGCGCCAAACTTCAAATAGGGGATCTATGGTGGGTGGACAAGTAAGAGTGCCATGAATGAAGCGCTCCTTATTTTTGGTTTTAAGGTCGACTACCATGTCTCTCTCCCATTGGTGGAAATTGCTCTTTGTGAGAAGAGGCAAAACAAGCACCAAAGCTGAGTTTTCTCTAGGATGCAGGTAGAGTGAATGAGCCGGATTCACCAAGTGATCCGGTGTTGGGGAAGTAATTTGGCTAATGGAAGCCATGATTCAATATAGAGGAAGAGGAGAAGAACATTAAGCGGAGAAAAGGTGAGTTTTCAGCGATGATATCATGTAATACAACAAAATTGATCATAGATAGCTTTTTTAAATAAACGCTATCTATAAATGCGCGGATAGAGTTTATTTAAAAAAGCTCTATCTAAACAAATGACAATAGATAACGCTTTTTTAAAAATGTTATCTATAAATAATTAATATTAATTTTTTAATTTATAATTTAAAATAGACCAAAAATGCTATTTATTTCAACCTAATAGATAGGGTGTTTTTAAAAAGGCGCAATCTATTGTGTTAGAAATAGATAGCGTTTTTATTTTAATGCTATCTATTCGACTTTTAAAAAATTTTGAAAAAAAAGTTTCTCAATTCCACTTCGTTTAGGTGCTCTTTTACATTTCTCTTTCGATCTTCTTTTTGTTCCAGGTCAAAAAATTTCTCCTTTTCCCTAAATTTCCAATTTCATTTCGATCAGATTCATCAAACCCATTATCCCTAAATTTCACTTTCTATTTGCCCCCAAATATCTTTTAGTGTTTGCCCCCGAATTTTACGCGTGGGTTCGAAACTTATGCTGGATTCATCAAACCTGATCGTTATGAGTAGAGTAAGTTGGTGTTGCATCTCTTCTCCGTCATTGCTTGTCGGGTAAGGTTCATCAAGTGCGATCGCCGATAAAGATTCAGGAAACCAGTGCGCAAGCCCTATCTCCTTCAAGAAACCAGTATGCTTGTAGCCAGATTTAACGCTTCGCCATTAAAGCTAGGCATTTTGGTGAGTTCTCGAACATTTTCATCTCTTTTACATGACAGCTTTAATCCCTTCGACCAATACTCTTTCTCGAACATCTTCATCTCTTTTATATGCCAATGTAGCATTATCATCACCTCATCCATCATTATCCCCACCAATAATTTTTATCACCGCCACTGGATTCACACCTTCTTCTAACCATACGCCTCTCATTTGTGCATTACTTTAGGTTATAAATCACCAATTGGATGTTTTATGAATCACCGATCTTTTTAATTTTATTTTAGGGCTTTTATGTGTATTAGTTAAATAAAGTGGATAAAAGAACTTGAGGAAAATGAAATTGTAGGTAGTGTTGAATTTTTTTGGAAGTTATTGCATAAGATGTATTAATGAAGTTTGTTGGGTAACAATAAAAACTCTGGTATAAATTTATATTCATTGGTATATAAGAATAGATGACACTTATTATCTATTTTTATGTAAAATCCCAATTTTCGAAATGTCACAGTGTAAATTTTTTTTAAAAGAGTCATCACTATCAAACTATCATCTTCCCGCATCACACAGTCAAAGAAAATCTTTTTCTCGCAACACACGGTCGAAAAAGTTATTACCAAACCATCATTTTCTTGAATCACACGGTCCAAAATTTATTATTTTCCATATCACTCATCAATATACATTCTCAATTACATATATTATACCACCAATTACAAAGTTTATAACACAAATCTCATTATTCCTCGTGAATATTATCACCAAAATATACATAAAATCTCCCCTTTCAAAACCTTTAAACACCAATATAATTATTCGATTTAATAATTTAAACTTCAAAACAATTAACAGAACACTAACATCCACTGGCTAGAACACGTGCCACTCTCTTATTCCTAAGCCAAAACTATTTTACACCCCAAACTTGCCATTTGTCTTCACGTCGGAAACAGTAACAAGAATCTACAGATTTCTTTACCAAAACCATGTTTCTTTTTGTCAAAAACAATTTAATTCTTACTTCCCCCTGACCGTGAGTTTCACAAGGACTCACTTTTCTCGTCAAGACTAAAGCCACATCAATAGTTTTAGTTTCCTTTTCTTTTTTACTATAAAAAAAAACCTATTACAAAGTTAAATTGCCTACACTCTTACTAACTCACGTAACACTCTTCTCTCTCTCTCTGCATACAACCTTTTAACTTTATTATATCATCATTCCTTCAAGTGGGTCCCTCAACAATTCACCATAATTCCATACACCTTTTCCACTCTAACGCAAATTCATCTTCTCCCTCCAAAATCATATTTATTTAATTAATATAAAATAATATATCTTACATAATCCCACCTTCTCCTCCTCACTCACCTTTTAGAACTCACGTATAATCCTCTGACCAAACCAACTCTACTTTTTAACTTCCATCTCTTTGTTTTCTCTTTCCACAATTAATCACTTACGTTTCTTTTCTACCTTCCAGGATGTATTAACTCCCATTCCCCTCAATCATCCAATGCTCTCGCGCTAGCTTTATGCAAAGAAAACTAAGGCAAAGCTATTCCTTCTCTCCTCTATAAGTAAAACAAAAAGCATGCAACGAGATAAAATAAAGAGCCTTCCTATTGGTTGCTCAAAACGTTCCATCCAAAAATTAATTCTCTCCCCTCCATAAATACTGCAAAAAGAATGCAAGCAAACTCCAAAATCTCTCTCATCATTCCCATGCATCGAAGGAGAAAACAAAACAAGCTTTCTGCCCCCTCCACGCTTCCACTGCACATCACGTGGTAATCCTCTCTTCATTTCATTCCTCCACACATCTTGTGGGTCCTAGTGGGCCCACCTATCCTCTCATGAAAACAAAAGAAACATGATTTTGGTAAGGAAATCTGTAGATTCTTGTTACTGTTTCCGACGTGAAGACAAACGGCAAGTTTGGGGTGTAAAATAGTTTTGGCTTAAGAATAAGAGAGTGGCACGTGTTGCGAGCCGGTGGATGTTAGTGTTCTGTTAATTGTTTTGAAGTTTAAATTATTAAATGGTTTAATGTCTCAATACATTCCTATTTTTGTTCAGAATTTGAAATAGGTCTTTTTATTTTTTGGCGTCTTAATTAGGTCTTTATTTTTGTTAATTTGATGCAAATAAATTCTTTCCGTCAATTTCATCAAACGGCGTTAATGAATGTGTGACGTGGCCTTACACGTGTCAATACTGTCCTCAGGCCACGTCACATATTCATTAACGCCGTCGATTGATGAAATTGACGGAAAGGATTTATTTGCATCAAATTAACAAAAATAAGGACACAATTGAGACGCCAAAAAATAAAGGGATCTATTTTAAATTCTTAACAAAAATAAGGACCTATTGAGACATTAAACCTTATTAAATCGAATAATTAGTTTGATGTTTTATGATATTTCTAATTATTCATTTTTCTTTTATCGAAAATGAAAATTGGGATTTAAGTTTGGAAATTTATTATTATTTTTTATTATTGAAATGTTTTCAGATTTGGTATTGTTATGTAAAAGACATACCCTGAGATTTTCGGAGTTATGTTTTGCATCCACAATTTTAATTAAATAAAGTTTATTATCTTTCATAAATGTTTATAGAAATACTGTGTTTCGAAAAAAAATTTACACCGTAAGATGTTACATTTATTATCTATGCACATTTTTTTAAGTAATGATAATAGAGAAAGGAGAGGTAATTCTAGTTTCAAAAATTCGTCATTCTCAATATTCAACTCACTAAAAAGAATACTATGTGACGTGCAATTTATACTGCATCAAAGAAAAATAACCATCTTAACAAATTAATAAAAGGAACAAATAAAACGTGTTTTTCTCTCACAGAGACTCCCAAAGTAAAGATAATAGTGCCAGCTGTAATGATAAGCAGAGAAAACGTGTCTTTCTCTCACACAGACTGCCAAGGAGAAAATCCTGCATTTGTAATGGAGAATCCTCCATCTAACACAAGATTGTGACCACTAACATACTTAGACTCATCACCTGCCAAATAAACAACAGCTTCGGCCACATCGTTGGTCACAAGATAAGAACCTTTTAGGTTGGAATAAGCCTCACGAACTCCTTCTTCATCAATATTGAAATACTCATTTAACATCGGTGTCGCAACCAGATAAGGCGATACACAGTTCACCCGAATACCGAATTGTCCGAGCTCCACCGCAGTGTTTTTCATCAGCCCCACAAGCCCATGCTTTGAACTGGTGTAGGCATGTGTAGCACCTCCACCTATGCATCCGGCAACACTAGCCGTGTTAATTATGCAACCCCTTTTAGCAGGAATCATCACTCTTGCAGCGTGCTTTGTTCCCAGAAATGGGCCAACCATGTTCACTCTTATCACTCTCTCAAACTCAGACTTTGTGTTTTCCAGAATGCTTCGTTTGAACTCATTCAATTGACCCGCGTTATTAACCATGATGTCCAGCTTCTCGTACTTGGAAACAGCTACGTTGACGCAGTTTTCGACGTCTTCTTCCTTTGTCACGTCACAATGAACATAGATAGCTGATTCCAACTCATTGCAGAGAGAAAGACCCAAATCGTCTTGAATATCAGCTATCACCACATGAGCTCCGTGCTTAGAGAAGAGTCTTGCGGTGGCCTCACCTATGCCGCTGGCACCACCAGTGATAATCGCCACTTTCCCCTCAAGCCTGCAAGATCATTGTGTGAAACTCGTAAAAATCAAAGAATAAGAACTTCTCTACGTAGAAATATAAAATTGTAATAACAACTTTACCTTCTGACAGTAGCAGCAGCTGAGTTGACTCTTGCCATGGATGAGTTTTTTCTGAATCGCAGAAGAAAGATGAATATATGTAAAGGTTTATATATATATAGCTATACTAAGATGAACTTGCTCTTCTCTTTATATAGCTGCGTTCCCTGCAAATGTAAGGTACGTAGAGATTCTTGTTACGGAAGTGCTCAAAATGTAAACCACTAGATGTTATAAATTTTTGTGATCTTTTATATATTATGAGATTTCTTTTACGAATATTTTGTTTCTAGGATTTTACAAAACTTAAGGAAGAATTATAGAAAACTCTTTTTAATAAATTTTTATAATAAAAAATTAAAAAATCTTACAAAATTCAAAGAATTTAAGTAATAACTCTTAATTATATAAAAAATAATCTTGAATTGGATTAATTATATCATAGAAATCGTTTAAGTATTGTTTTTAGACTTTTGCTACTTTTGTTCCAACATATATAAAGAAGAAGAAAAACCTACTTATTGTATCTACTTTTTTAGACTTTTGGATTTAGAATCTTTCCAAACCGAAAAGTTTGATTCGAATTAAAGTTTCAACCAAGTCAACATGAACAAAATTAGTTATTGTATTTAAATACAACATTATTTATTTAGAATTATTTAAGGCTTAATGTCTGGGTAAGTCCCTATTTCGGCGTGAATCTTAAATAGGTTTCTTTTTTTTCGGCGTCTCAATTGTTTTTTTTTTTTGTAAAATTGTATCAATTAGAGGTTTGCTGTCAAATTGGACAAACGGACGTTTAAGTTTGGTTTACGTGACACGGTAAGTGTATTCATTAATCTCACGTGGTATTAAAAACGAGTTTTGTATTAAAAATTTGAATTGCACATATGTGAAATCAGATTTAGAGAAGGGCAAAGTGGGCAAAATCTAAAAATTTAAGTGCAGCCCCTGCAATTCAGAAATTCAAATGAGATTGAGGAAAAAAGATTGAGACTAGGGTTCGTGCGAGAAAAAAGAAAGTGTTCTTTCTTCTATTCGATTCGAAGAGCATGGTTCTTGGGTGAAAAACATGAAATGCAGAAGTCGCAAGGAAGTTATATATATATGTGTGTGTGTGTGTGTGTGTGTGTGTGTGTTTTCTTAAATTTAACCATGGAAAAGACAAATGAAAATTGGTCCAAAACTCTACTTCCATAGGAAAAGTTATGTACAATAGCAATTGTGTGTGTGGGTCCAGTGTCATAGATCTATGGGGAAATGCCCAAGTTGACAATTCACCAATTTGTTGCTCTAGACGACGAAATCAAAACTCGCCGGAGAGTACTCACTGCTACCTCCCAACCGCATCGCCGGAATCTGACTTTGGCTGCAGATCAGGGCGCTAGGGGTAGGTAAACCACCGCAATAGCAGTAAAATGGAGAACGAACCTATAAAATTAAATTGAAAAAAAAAATCAAAGATCCTTGGCCTTGTTCATGACAGAGAGACGGCTGGGCTTGGGCTCGAAAGTCGCTCTCCTCCTTTGCTGATGAGAACTGAGTCGAATAAGCACGGTTAGGGTACGTTTTACCCACTCACCCTCCATGCCTCTCATCCTCACAAGCGAGTTCTTCATCGCAGGTTTGCGCATATTGAGGCGATTGGAGAGGTAGGAATCTGCGTGGTGGTTGTTGTTGGCAGTGTTCTTGTGTAGGCTGCATCGGAAGGAGCCGGGATGTGTAGTAGGGGAACACATGCAGGTTTTTCGTTATCCATCGCTTCTAACCCAGTCTTCTTCACCCCCGAACCCTGTGCTTCGAATCGAAGAAAGAACGCAGGTTTTTCCCCAATCTCATTTGCATTTATGAATTAAAGGATCTGCACTTAAATTTTTAGATTTTGCCCACTTTGTCCTTCCCTAAATCTGAATCCAATCTTTACAATCCAAATTTTTAATACAAAATTCATTTTTAGTGCCACATAACCCAAAGTTAAATGGTTGTTTATCCAATTTGACGGCAGATGTAACATCCCAAAAGTACAACAATAAACCATATAATCGAATAATTACATTTAATAATATTTCAGTTCAGTCTTACACTAAGAAAATGTACGCTCACGGCCGAACGGCCTTACAGAGAGAGTTACAATAATTACTTAATACATAAGTACGAGTCTGACCGAACGGTTTACAAAAGTTCCTACCGAACGGTTAGATAAAATCAAAAGAGAGGAGGTGACCGATCGATCACCTCACAATAAGACTACTAACTACTAACCGAACGTTCCTACTGCTCGGTCTTCACTTCTATTTCTACCAAATTTTCCTCTTCCAGCGCTTCTTCAAGTAGCTCGCCTCCTTCTGCTCACATCAACACGGATGATCATTGCAACGACAAGGACGAACGTACAAAACAGACAACATAGGAAATGCAGGGTAAGCTTATGTAATTTAATTCATACATACACATACATTTCAAACAATCCAACATACAAGATAGATTTCAGCGTACGTAATCATACAAAACCTATCACTAGACTGATTGTCCGGACTGTATGACTTCTGTGTAGCTACAGGCGTTCGTGCACCCGGGTGATGTAGTAACTGGGATATACTCAACAGCTGCCACCCGAGGTTAACCCTATCTGTCCAAAGTACCCCTAAGGACTAGGACCTCCTGCCGTTCCCACACATGACCTACTCTCCTCTACGTGAAGACGAGTACTCACGGAACATCAGGATGAACAGCCAGCTTAGCATGCCCACAATCATACTTTACCAATTTCAGTATTCAAGCATGAGTTGTTCCTTCCCGGAACGCTCATCCAAAAATCACAACATTTCCACATCTCATTTTCTTCATCTTTATTTAATAATAATCTCATTTAAACATTTTACACAAAGATCCGTTCGGGTACAATTTACCGAACGTCCAACCCTGACTCAGAACGAGACTAAAAAATTTGGAGCTAGACCGAGGGCCTCAAATTCCAGCATAAATTTAGACCAAGAGGTTTACTATCGGTTTGAGAAAGAAACGAAGTACAATCTAATATCACCACCAATGAACAGAACGAACATAACTTGCAAAATGAGTCAATTAGATGAATTGACTCTTAAGAACTTTTACCGAGCATCTAAAAAGAAAACTATACTCAGCACTAAAGCTCTAGGCTGAAGCCAATAGACACAGACACTCCAAGAGATTCAAAGAATAATACATAGAGGAATTCTCATGAATAAACCGAGCGTTTATGAGGACTTAGATTATTTAGATTTAGTATTAAGAAATACGAATGTCAGTTAAAGACTAAACACTATAGGGAGTGAACCTTAGTGGTTTGCTAGTATTAGAAAATTTTGTTTAAGGAGATAGAAAGAGTGCCCGGTGTAAGACCAAATACTTTATTAGGACGAACACTTGATATAAGACCAGATGTTACTAAGAGGATATCAAGACAGAACTATGCTTGGTCGAACGCTCAAGCACAGTCTTTCGAAGTGTAGACGCTCGTCCTCAACTAGGATTCTTCCCAAATGAAAGAATCCACTACAACTCTCAATTCACTAGAAAACTGAACGGTCAAGGACCGTTCAGTAACGTACGTACACTTTCTTAGGAAATTTCCTACCAGAATCGTTATTATTCAAATTCAGTTCTTAACATACAGTTTCATACCTTTATACATTCACACAATAATCCATTTTTCATATCTCATAGCATCCAAACATAGAAATTTCATACATTTCATGCATCATAACATAGCACACTCATTTTTCATATTCAATCAAATCAACGAACGTTCATGCAACACATAATCATATAAATTAAATTAATAAGCTTTCCTTACCTCTTAAGATAGCCGAACGTTCACAAATACAAACTAGGGTTCTCCTTCTAACAAAGGCCTTAACGTTCTACAGCACGTTCTAAGAACTATAACCAACATAAAACCAGAAAGATACTCAGAATGATAGGATCAACTCATGCAACCAAGAATCTGGGTTTGCATGTTACAGAAAACACACGAATGGAGGAAAGATGAACTTACCAGTTCAGAATCCTAAACTGATCGGTTCAAACGATCGTTCTTTACGCCAGAAGAGTAGAACTGGTGCCTGAAGGGTGATCGGAGTACAGAAATGGTGAGTTTCGGTAGAGAGAAGGGAGAGCTTTTTAGAGAGAAGAAGGAGAAATGGAAGATCAGAGGTTTGGAGAAGAAGGTACATGCAGCGAGAGTGTGACGTAACTTTCAAAAACTCAGTTTTACTTAAAACGTACATTCGCTCAGCTGCTGACACCTGCATTCCACTATCTGATTTTCGGATCCTCGTTGCTTGACACCTGGCGTCCGCGCAGAGGGTTTTGGATGCGTTTTTAATGGTTCTGACAGCAGATCTTTAATTGCTACAATTTTACACAAAAAAATGACCTATTTAAGATTCACACCAAAAATAGGAATCTACTGATACATTAAACTAATTATTTAATAACCAACATGTATATATATGGGTATGTTTCTTGAAACTTGTTTTATAGATCGATTGTATTTTGTTTATAATATATTTATATTTATTAAAATAAGATAACAAACTATGTATTATAGTTTTTATTGATACAATTATATAATTCGTTTATAAAAATATGAATATAGCAATCATACAAAATTCACGGCATATCTTATAACATGTTATTATAAAATATTTAACAACTTTTTTTGTGAAAAATCCTTTAAATTCGTTTGTAAAATTAGGTTTACAATTTAAAAAAAATTGCTTATTATAAAACTTCAAAATCTTATTTTTTTGAAGTGGAAAATATTGGTTGTTTGATTCAAATTTTATATTAAATTTAGATAATGGGAGTCTTTTTGGTAATGAATGTTAAATTAGAGTTATTTAGCTAATGAAGAACATAGGACATTTTGGTTACCGTATCTTCAATTTGAATAAACATGATGTGGGTAGCTATCACTTGTAATAATGAGTTCAATCAAAATTTAGTTGTTAAAGCTAACACAAAAACTGTTTTCCATGTTAAATTTAGGTCTAACTTAAAGATAACATATATAAAATGTGTGTGGTAATATAAATAAATTAATTGGACAATATTATTAAAATTTATTATTTTTTTAATTGTTTTTAG